CGGTCACGCAGGTAGGTGGGTCCCAAACCATTTAGGGCTTTGTAGGTAAGCACCTGCACCTTGAATTGGGACTTGAAAATGAACAGCAGCCAATGGAGCTCCTTAAACAGGATGTTTACCTACATCCAGAGAGAACTGGATGATGATCTGGACCAAACTTGGCACAAATTCTCAGTATGCCCAAATGTAAACACTAGTAGAGTTTGGGGGAAATGGACCTTGGCATTTGGGAGTTGGGGCTAGTAATATAATCATCATCATCATCATCATCATCATCTTTATTTATATCCTGCCACCATCTCCCTGATGGGGACTCGGAGCGGCTTACATGAGGCCAAGCCCAAAACCACAATTGCAATAAAGAAAAACCAAGACACAGCCGAAAACGCGAACAGTAAACAATAACATCATAATTACATAAACCAGTGTAAATATCTGATATGCAGGATGTATTTTCATTCACTGGACCAAATTTGGCACAAATATTCGATACGCCCAAATTTGAATACTGATGGTGGCGGTGGTGTTGGTGGTGGTGGTGGTGGTGGGGGGGGGTTTGATTTTGTCATATGGGAGTTGTAGTTGCTGGGATTTATAGTTCACCTACTATCAAAGAGCATTTTGAACTCCACCAATGATGGAATTCAACCAGACTTGGCACACAGAACTCCCATGACGAACAGAAAATACTGGAAGTCTTTGTTGGGCATTGACCTTGAGCCTCCCACAAGGATGAGAAAACATCAAAACATCTGGGCGTCCCCTGGACAACATCCTTGCAGATGGCCAATTCTCTCACACCAGAAGCCACTTGTAGTTTCTCAAGTCTTTCCTGACACAGAAATATTATTATTATTATTATTATTATTATTATTATTATTATTATTCTGACACAAAAACACAGTATGTCACAGCAAATGAGATAGATATGCTGGATTTCGTATCATAAAATCACAAGTTGAACACTTCCCAAACGAATAATAATAATAATAATAATAATAATAATAATAATAATAATGTTTGCTTGTGGGATTAACAGAACTCAAAAACCACCGGATGAATTGACACCAAATTTGGACACAAGACACCTAACAACCCAATGTATGTCCTTCACTCAAAAAATTGATTTTGTCATTTGGGAGTTGTAGTTGCCGGGATTAATAGTTCATCAACAATCAAAGAATATTCTGAACTCCACCAACGATGGAATTGAACCAAACTTGGCACACAGGACTCCCCTGACCAACAGAAAATACTGGAAGGGTTTGGTGGGCAGTGTCCTTTGGTCTTGGAGTTGTAGTTCACCTACATCCAGACAGCACTGTGGACTCAAACAGTGATGGATCTGGACCAAACTTGGCACACATTCTCAGTATGCCCAAATGTAAACACTAGTAGAGTTTGGGGGAAATAGACCTTGACATTTGGGAGTTGTAGTTGCTGGGATTTATAGTTCACCTATAATCAAAGAGCATTCAAACCCCACCAAGGACATTTTGGGCCAAACTTCCCACACAGAACGTCCATGATCAACAGAAAATACCGTGTTTTCTGGTGGTCTTTGGTGACCCCTCTGACACCCCCTCGCGACCCTTCCAGGTTGAGAAACACTGCCTTACAGCCTTGTCGTAAAGATGCCCAATTAGAATAGAGGAATCATAGAAGCATATAGACGACGTGCTACCAAACTCTGCGCATCAGCGAGCAATGAAACACAATGGTTCCTTTCCCTCAGAGATGCTTACTGCTGCGTCTTTGAGAGCAAGATGTTCCCTCCCTCCAAATGTTCGACAGAGACGCGACTCACTCTGAAAAACACGCGGAGAACCATCAAAGGCAAAAAACCAAAGCATGGTTGACAGGGTAACAGCTGGGGAGGGGGAAAGGAACACATCTTTCTTCCCTCCTCCTCCTCCTCCTTTTCCCCCACAAGGCATATTTAAATCCTTTTTAAAAAGTTCCCACCTCCCACTCAGTTCAGTAGTGAATCTCTGTGCATCCCTCCTTCTTATGCTTCGAGGCTCCTCGGGGAGAAGAAAAGAGCTCAGTGTCTCATCTCTCTTTCTAACTCACTTGGATAGAAAGCGGCCAGGTGAGGCTTTGGGATTTTGGAGCAACCTAATGCTCACCTCCCATGACAAGATGTCTACGGCTCCATTGGTGGCAACGAATACAATTTTGTACGAATTTACAAATGCCACAGAACCCTTGCCCCATGGAGAGAGCAACCACTCAATGGACGAAATGTGGCTCGAAGAGGTCCCCCTTGGTTTGGGAATCCTCTGTGTCATTTACGTGGTGTACGCCACCATCATCTCGGTGGGTCTCCTGGGTAACCTGATCCTCATCAAGGTCTTCTTCAAGATCAAATCCATGCAGACGGTGCCCAACATCTTCATCACCAGCCTGGCCTTCGGGGACGTGATCCTCCTCCTGACCTGCGTCCCGGTGGATGCGGCCTGCTACATGGTGGAGACCTGGCTCTTTGGGAGGGTCGGCTGCAAGATGCTCTCCTTCATCCAGCGCACCTCCGTCGGGGTCTCCGTCTTCACTCTGACGGTACTCAGTGCAGACAGGTGAGCCAAAGAGCTTCAAAACATGGGTTTTAATAAGTGTGGTTGCAAAGAAAATAGGAAGGAAGGAATGAGAAGGAGAAAGAAGGAAGGAAGGAAGGAAGGAAGGAGACAATAAGGAAGGAAGAAATAGGAAGATAACGGAGGGACAGAGGTGGCCCTAGGTAATTTTCAATGGTAAGCAAACAGTATTTTGGCGCACCCCCCCCCCCAACCAATCATTGATATATATTTTCTGTTCATCGTGGGAGTTCTGTGTGCCATATTTGGTTCAATTCCATCATTGGTGGAGTTCAGAATGCTCTTTGATTGTAGGTGAACTATACATCCCAGTAACTACACTTGCCGCATTTGCTCCCTTGCCTGGCCCGCTTTGGGTCCGGAGGCGTGCCTGAAGACCCCGGCGTGTGCACCAAAAGTCACCTCTTCTCCTGACTTTCTCCTCAGCCATTGGGACCAAGAGAGAGAGAGAGAGAGAGAGGTGGAGATGCCCACCTTTCCTGAAGGTAGGCGCAAAAACAAAGGAGGGAGCGGAGGTGGGAGATACCTCCAGCCGGAGGGGCTCTCTCTCTCTCTCTTGGTCCCAATGGCTGAAGAGAAAGTCAGGAGAAGAGGCGACTTTTGGTGCGCACGCTGGGGTCTTCAGACATGCCTCCGGACCCGAAGCGGGCCAGGCGCGGCGGCTCCGCCCCTTGGCCCACCTGCGGATTGGGGAGAGGAGAGGAGGCGGGTGGAGCCGGTCATGGGAGCCAGTCATGGGGAAGGGATCGAACGCGGAGAACAATTGAGTGCCGGCTCTGCTTGTGCATCCGGTGGCCGGGTGGAGCAGGAATGAGATCTGCTCGCGCACCCGGTGGCCAGGTAGAGCAGGACCGAGAGGGGCTAGGTCCGGCCCCTTTGGGAACGAGGATCACCTGGCAACAAGGCAAGAAAGCCGAGGCTCCCCCGGACTGCTAGGGCTGTTGTGAGCTGAGGGGGCGCTCCTCACGTGGCGGTCGAGGGGCATTTACAGAGGCGCCTCTGCGCCCCTGGCAAAAAAAAGTGTTCTGCGACCGCTTACTTCGTGTAATGGACGAGCCGCCCCTGCGGAGGGAAGTAGGAAGGAAAGAGAAGAAGGAAGAAATGAGATGCTAAGGAAGGTAGAAATAAGACAAGAAGGAAGAAGAGAGAAGAAGGAAGGACTAAATAATAAGGAAGGAAGGATAGAAGGAAGGAAGAGGACGAAGGAAGGACAAAATGAGATAATGAATGAAGGGAAGAAGGTGATGATGAGGAAGGAAGGAGACAATAAGGAAGGAAGAAATAGGAAGATAATGGAGGGAAGAAGGAAGGAAGGAGAAGAAGGAAGAAATGAGATGCTAAGGAAGGTAGAAATAAGACAAGAAGGAAGAAGGGAGAAGAAGGAAGGAATAAATAATAAGAAAGGAAGGATAGAAGGAAGGAAGAGGACGAAGGAAGGATGAAATGAGATAATGCATGAAGGGAAGAAGGTGATGAGGAAGGAAGGAAGGAGACAATAAGGAAGGAAGAAATAGGAAGATGACAGAGGGAAGAAGGAAGGAAGGAGAAGAAGGAAGAAATGAGATGCTAAGGAAGGGAGAAATAAGACAAGAAGGGAGAAGAAGAAAGGAATCTATATCAATAAAAATGCAGTGTTGGTTTGTAGGATTAACAGAACTCAAAAACCATTGGACGAATTGACACCAAATTTGGCCACAAGACCAAATGTATGTCCTTAACTAAAAAAATTGATTTTGTCATTTGGGAGTTGTAGTTGTTGGGATTTATAGTTAGCCTACAATCAAAGAGCATTCTGAACCCCACCAATGATGGAATTGTTGGCACACAGTTCTCCCGTGACCAACAAAATACTGGAAGGGTTTGGTGGGCAGTGTCCTTTGGTTTTGGAGGTTTTGGTGGGTGTCGACATTGAGTTTTGGAGTTGTAGTTCACCTGCATCCAGAGAGCATAGTGAACTCAAACAATGATAGCTCTGGACCAAACTTTGCACAAATACTCAATATGCCCAAATGTGAACACTGGTGGAGTTTGGAGGAAACAGACCCTGTCATTTGGGAGTTGTAGTTGCTGGGATTTATAGTTCACCTGCAATCAAAGAGCATTCTGAACTCCGCCAATAATGTAATCAAACCAAACTTGGCACATAGAACTCCCATGACCAACTGAAAATATTGGAAGCTTTTGGTATGCATTGACCTTGAGTTTTGGAGTTGTAGTTCGCCTACATCCAGAGAGCATAGTGAACTCAAACAATGATGGCTCTGGACCTAACTTTGCACAAATACCCAATATGCCCAAATGTGAACACTGGTGGAGTTTGGAGGAAACAGACCCTGACATTTAAGAGTTGTAGTTGCTGGGATTTATAGTTCACCTGCAATCAAAGAGCATTCTGAACCCTACCAACAATAGAATTGAGGCAAACTTCCCACAAAGAACCCTTATGACCAACAGAAAATACTGTGTTTTCTGATGGCCTTTGTTGCAAGACATAAATTGCAAGACATAAATCCACAATAATTCAATTTAACTTTGTATATGCTTATGATTAGAAAGAAACCTCTCTTTCTCTTAAATACAGTCTAAAGGAAAGGAGGGATCTATATTGCATTTTGGTGCTATCTAGTGGTGCCTTAAAGCAATTAATGGACCTTGGAAACAGAATAGCGCAAAGGATTGGAAACATTTGCAGCTCATTCTTTGGGGATAATGGAGTCAAACTAAAAGAAGCTTTAACTAAACCATCTGCTGCTCAATAGACCAACAAAGCCAGTATTCACAGTTTAGACAGATAACAAAATTCCCTGAGTTTGGTGATGCATAACCAAAAGCATCCATGTGGAGCCCCTAGTGGTGCAGCAGGTTAAACCTCTGAGCTGCTGAATTTGCTGACTGAATGGAGCAGGGTGAGCTCCCGCTGTTAGCCCCAGCTTCTGCCAACCAAGTAGTTTGAAAACATGCTCCAGCCGCGCCCGTACCTTGGGAAGTGAGACTTGGCCACGGTGGTCCACGCTCTCGTTACATTTAGGATAGACTACTGCAACACACTCTACATGGGGTTGCCTTTGAAGACTGCTTCAAATAGTCCAACGAGAGGCAGCCAGGTTAATAACTGGGGCGGCATACAGGGAGCATACAACTCCCATGTCACGCCAGCTCCACTGGCTGCCAGTTTGCTACCGAGCACAATTCAAAGTGCTGGCTTTGGCCTAGAAAACCTAAACGGCCCTGGCTCAAATTACCTGTCCGAACGCATCTCCCCCTATGTACCATCGTGGAGATTAAGATCCTCTGGGGAGGCCCTGCTTTCCGTCCTGCCATTGTCACAGGGGACAAGAGACAGGGCCTTCTCGGTGATTGCTCCTCAGCTATGGAACTCTCTTCCTGGTGAGATCAGGTTGGCCCCCTCTGTCCTGTCCTTTAGAAGGATGGTAAAAACTTGGCTGTGGGACCAAGCTTTCAGGACAGGGCAATAAATCGGCAATAGGAAAGATGACCAGGCCAATGATTTGACATAGATGACTATGGTGTATTTTAATATTTTGATCATTTTTTTAATGTTTATGTATTGTATGTGAATCTGTGTCCCGGCATTGAATGTTTGCCGTGTATATGCTGTGAGTCCCCTTCTGGGTGAGAAGGGCAGAATATACATGTTTTAAATAAATAAATAATAATAAATAAATGACTGAATGGAATGCCGTCATCTTCCCGCCGGAGCGGTATCTATTGAGCTCACGTTTGCATGTTTTCGAACTTCTAGGTTGGCAGAAGCTGGGGCTAACAGCAGGAGCTCACCCCAAGTGAGCATTAAAGAAGGGAAGGAAAGAAAGAAGAGAGAAAAGAGGAAATAGAAGGAAGGAAGAAAAGAAAGGGAAAAAGAAAAGTAGGTAGGAAACAGAGAGGTGAAAGAAAGGTAGGAAATAGAAGAAAAGAAAGAAAGAAAGGTTGAAAAAAGAGGGAAGGAGAAAAAGAAGGAAGCAAGATAAGAAAGAGAGAGGGAAGGAAGAGAAGAAAGGGAGAAAAAAAAGGTAGGTAGGAAACAGAGAGAAAGGTAGGAAACAGAAGGAAGAAAAGAAAGGGAAAACAAAAAGTAGGTAGGAAATAGAAGAAAAAGGAAGGTAGGTTGGAAAAAGAGGGAAGGAGAAAAAGAAGGAAGCAAGGTAGATAGGAAAGAGAGCGGGAAGGAAGAGAAGAAAGGGAGAGAGGGTTGGAAAAAGAGAGGGAAGGAGAAAAGGGAGAGAGGTAGGTGGAAATAAGAGAGGGAAGGAATCCATAAAGTGTACTGCAATGGTTTGAATCTCGGACTGTGGCTGGGTGTCTTTAGCCAAGTCCCACTCTCTCAACCTCCGAGGAATAAATAAATAAATCCTGAGAAGAAAACTCAGAGAGAGGGTTGCCTTTGGGTCACCCTGAGTCTGAAATGACTTGAAGGCCCACAACAAGATCAATAAACAAAACCCAATAGCCTGAAGGACCCTGAACTGGCCCTCTGCTAACAACGTCTGAGGGTACCTTCTCTAATCCATGACTTCTGATCCTCAGGTACAAGGCAATTGTCAAGCCGTTGGAGCTTCAAAGGGCAGATGCCGTCCTGAGGACCTGCTTGAAGGCCACTTGCGTCTGGGTCGTCTCCATGCTGCTGGCTGTTCCAGAGGCCGTGTCCTCCGATCTGTATGCTTTCCACCTTCCGGAGAGAAACAGCTCCTTTGAGACCTGCGCCCCTTACCCGGTCTCTGAAAGGATCCTGCAGGAAGCTCATTCCCTGGTCTGCTTCCTGATATTCTACATCATCCCGCTGGCCATCATATCCATTTACTATTTCCTCATTGCCAGAACGCTGTACCAGAGTACATCCAACATGCCGGCAGAAGACCAAGGCCATGCTCGGAAGCAGGTGGGTTGGGTTCATTTCCCCATTTATTTACTCATCCATTCTTTTATTTGTATTATTTATTATTTGCATTATTTCTACCCCGCCCATATTAGCCCTAAGGCGACTCAGAGCGGCATACACAGTCGGCACAATTTGATGCCATAAGAATACATACATTGATCAACAAAAAACCATTATAGTGAATTTAGACCAGTGTTTCTCAACCTTCCTAATGTTGTGACCCTTAATACAGTTCCTCATGTTGTGGTGACCCCCAACCATAAAAGTATTTTCGTTGCTACTTTATAAATGTAATTTTGCTACTTTTATGAATCATAATGTAAATATCTGATATAAAGGATGTATTTTCATTCACTAGACCAGATTTGGCATTAATTTACAATACGCCCAAATTAGAATACTGGTGGGGTCGGGGAGATTGATTTTGTCATTTGGGAGATGTAGTTGCTGGGATTTATAGTTCACCTACAATCAAAGAGCACTCTGAACTTCACCAACAATGGAATTGAACCAAACTTGGCACACAAAACTCCCATGATCAACAGAAAATACTGGAAGGGTGTGGTGGGCATTGACCTTGGGTTTGGGAGTTGTAGTTCACCTACATCCAGAGAGCACTGTGGACTCAAACAATGATGGATCTGGACCAAACTCTACACGAATACTCAATATGCCCAAATGTGAACACTGGTGGAGTTTGGAGGAAATAGACCTTGACATTTGTAAGTTGTATTTGCTGGGATTTATAGTTCACCTATAATCGGCGCTCCATGTAGTCATGCCGGCTACATGACCTTGGAGGTGTCTACGGACAACGCTGGCTCTTCGGCTTAGAAATGGAGATGAGCACCACACCCCAGAGTCAGACATGACTGGACTTAATGTCAGGGGATTGCCTTTACCTTTACTATAACAGAAGAGCATTCTGAACCCCACCAACAATGGAATTGGACCTCATAGAACCTCCATGACCTACAGAAAATACTGTGTTTTCTAATGGTCTTTGGCGACCCCTCTGGCACCCCCTCGTGACCCCCCCCCCAGGAGTCCCGACCCCCAGGTTGAGAACCACTGATTTAGACATAAAGATAGTGCATAATAAAAATTTTAAAAACAAAAAAAGATGTCCTCTTGTTCAAGTCCTTATCCGTATTATAACGTCCACGATTCCATAGAATTGAACCATATCAGTTAAAGTGTTGTCAAACTGCATGAATTCTAAGGAATAATTGAACCCAGGAGAGACTTTTGGGTCTCTGGAAGCTCTAGAGCAGTGTTTTTCAACCTGGGGGTCGGGACTCGTGGGGGGATCATGAGAGGGTGTCAGAGGGGTCACCAAAGACCATCAGAAAACACAATATTTTCTGTTGGTCATGGGAGTTCTATGTGGGAAGTTTGGCCCAATTTGGTCATTGGTGGGGTTCAGGACGCTCTTTGATTGTAGGTGAACTATAAATCCCAGCAACTACAACTCCCAAATGTCAAGGCCTATTTCCTCTAACCTCCTCCAGTATTCACATTTGGGCATGTTGAGTATTCGTGCCAAGTTTGGTCCAGATCCATCATGGTTTGAGTCCACAGTGCTCTCTGGATGTAGGTGAACTACAACTCCAAAACTCAAGGTCAATGCCTATCAAACCCTTCCAGTATTTACTGTTGGTCATAGGAGTTCTGTGTGCCAAGACTGGTTCAATTCAGTCGTTGCTGGAGTTCAGTATGCTCTTTGATTGTATGTGAACTATGAATCTCAGCAACTACAACTCCCAAATGACAGCATCAATCTCCCCTTCAATCCCACTAGAATTAAAATTTGGGTGTATCAGGCATTTGCCGAATTTGGTCCAGTGAATGAAAATACATCCTGCATATAAGATACTTACGTGATGATTCATAACAGCAGCAAAATTACAGTTGTGAAGTAGCAACAAAAATAATGTTATGGGTGGGGGTCATCACAGCATGAGAACTGTATTAAGGAGTCACGGCATTAGTGAGGTTGAGAACCACTGCTATAACCTTTTCCCAACCATGTCAATCATCCCAGTGAGAAAATTGGATGTAAAATCAGGAACCATGTCCATTGGGACAAACTGTATATCCTGATCCATAACTCATTCTCATCATTAAGGAGAAGCCCAACCTGAAGGCATTTGAAAGCCCAATGAGGAAGTTATAGTTCAATCAAAAATGGGTAAGATTTCCAAACTCTGCTCAGCTTTCTGAATGGTAAACTGTGTGTTTGGCTTCCTTCTGCATCAACAAGACCTTTTTTTTTTCTCTTAGTGGCAGGAATGAACCTCCAGCTTAGCAAAGGCAGACTCCACCCAGCTGTGTTTCTTTGCTGATAAGGTTCGAGGAGAACATATGTTTTCTGAAGTTGGTAACTGGGCTAATCTGCGGTAGCCAAACCAGCTAAGAACTCAAGTATAAATACATTAGAAACAAATGCGGTCATCGCTAATAGTCAACACGGGTTTATCAAAAACAAGTCCTGCCAGACTCATCTGATCTCTTTTTTTGATAGAGTTACAAGCTGGGTAGATGCGGGGAATGCCGTGGATGTAGCGTACCTGGATTTCAGTAAGACCTTCGACAAGGTCCCCCATGACCTTCTGGCAAGGAAACTAGTCCAATGTGGGCTAGGCAAAACTACGGTGAGGTGGATCTGGAATTGGTTAAATGGACGAACCCAGAGGGTGATTCTCCCCAAGGCTTCCTCTTCATCCTGGAAAGAAGTGACGAGCGGAGTGCCATCAGCAGGGTTCTGTCCTGGGCCCGGTCCTGTTCAGGATCTTTATTAATGACTTAGATGAAGGGCTAGTACCAAAAGCTCCAACTTCCTTTTCTTTCTTTGAGTGTTTGCATGTATTCCAAAGTTCCATGCATTTTGCAATAAGGTGGCTTCCCTTGGTTTGCAGCCACCTGCCTATCATCGTTGGGTTTTTTAGTTCTGCCCCTTTCCCCAGGGTTCAGGAAGGAAAGGGAGCCATTTTAGCTCAGTCTTACAGTTGAAAGCTTAGCTATAGGATGTGAATCAGCTCCATCTGTCACAGCATTCAGGGGAAATTCCGGGGGAAACAGTTCCAAAGGACTCCAGCTGGAGAATCTACAAAGCCTTGACTGGTAGGTCTACTCGGGACCCAAGAAGCAGTTTGGAGCCGGGAGTAGAACCCACACCAGCAAAGTTTAGAAAGTAGATTGCCCAAGGAGGGGTTAAAAAGGGTTTTCCTCTTAAAGAAAAGAAACAGTTCACGAAGCCAGTTGCCTGTCCCTTGTGGACAAGATTAAGAAAGGCACCAGTTGATTCAAAGCCTTGAAGTATTTGTTTGACCTGTTGAAGATCTGAGAAATATTTGATTGTTTTGTTGAAGACCTAAGCAATAATAAAGGACTTTGTTAAACTTTTCAAGTTTTTAAAGACTCTGTATAGGAAAATCCTTAGGGCCTCTCACTCGAGGCACCCTGCCTTCCCGCTGGGCACAAAGAGTACGTCCTGTTCAACAGCCAATTGCTATAGGCCCAGCGTGTGACAGCACAACTTAGATGAAGGGTTAGAAGGCATGATCATCAAGTTTGCAGACAACACCAAATTGGGAGGGAGAGCCAATACTCCAGAGGACAGGAGCAGGATTCAAAATGATCTTGACAGGCTAGAGAGATGGGCCAAAACTAACAAAATGAAGTTCAACAGTGACAAATGCAAGATACTCCACTTAGGCAGAAAAAACGAAATGCAAAGATACAGAATGGGGGACAATGCCTGGCTCGAAAGCAGACGTGAAAAAGATCTTGGAGTCCTCGTGGACAACAAGTTAAACATGAGCCAACAATGTGATGTGGCGGCAAAAAAAGCCAATGGGATTTTGGCCTGCATCAATAGGAGCATCGTGTCTAGGTCCAGGGAAGTAATGCTACCCCTCTATTCTGCTTTGGTTAGACCACACCTGGAATATTGTGTCCAATTCTGGGCACCACAATTCAAGAGAGATATTGACAAGCTGGAATGTGTCCAGAGGAGGGCGACTAAATGATCAAGGTCTGGAGAACAAGCCCTATGAAGAGCGGCTTAAGGAGCTGTGCATGTATAGCCTGAAGAAGAGAAGGATGAGAGGAGATATGATAGAGGAATGTGAGAGGAATATGTGAGAGGAAGTTACAGGGAGGAGGGAGCAAGCTTGTTTTCTGCTTCTCTCGGGAGGCCCTGCTCTTGGTCCCACCTTCTTTGCAAGCGTCGTTGATGGGGATGAGAGACAGGGCCTTCTCAGTGGTGGCCCCTTGGTTGTGGAACTCTTTTCCTAGTGATATCAGGACAGCCCCACACTCTTAGTGCTTAGAAAGAGAGTCAAAACCTGGATCTGGGAGAAGGCGTTTGAAAAATGTTTGGATCCCAATGGGTTGGCCTTGGTCAGAATGAGATGGAGGAATGTTAGTATGGAATATGTGTAATTTGACTATGGATTGTCCTTTAGACTATGACTCTGGATGACATGATTCATTGAAATGTATTTTTATTATATTTATGCATTCATAGAATCATAGAATCATAGAATCCTAGAGTTGAAAGAGACCTCATGGGCCATCCAGTCCAATAAGGCTTGTTCTCCAGACCCTTTATCATTTTAGTTGTTTTAATGTTTTAGCTGATGTGGTATGCTTTAAGGGACCATGGAGGTGCGATTGTAAGCCACCTTGAAACTCCCTCGCGGTAGAGAAAGGCGGGATATAAATAAGGTACATAAATAAATAAGGCCATGTGCCTTCTCTGCGAAAGGGTGCTGGTACCTTACCAAACTACAAATCCCAGGATCCATTGAGCCTGGCAATTTAATTAGAGATGCAGTCTCTCAAAGAGAAGCTCCTGAAGCAGCTTCCCCTTTGGTTTTGGCTCAACACTAAGATCACTTTATGATGCGAATCTAATTAACATCCTGATTCTGGCAAGATCATTTTGAAATGGCAGGGGAAAGGTTTGAGGAAAAGAGACAAAGAGAGGTCCGGAGGTCTCAAAAGCACGGGTTTTATTTCCAGCTGGGACTCCGGTGAGGAGTTGTGTCCAAAAGCACCAGAGCCCCGATATAGGCGTTGACTATGGCTTTGATATCCTCCAATTGCAGTCAAACAAAGAACATGCTTCTACATACATTGACATCATTCTCTGCGTCATTTTAGCATCATAGGAATATCAAATTCTACCTTTCAACATACGAAAGGCATGTCTCTGTGTCTTTCTAAAGAGCAAGCATGCAGCTTATATTCATCAATCAAGGGGCCTACTTTGAGTTGTCAGGAGAAAGGAGATATAGGCTCTCCTTACTTAGTACCAGTCTCTCTCTCTCTGGAATGTATAGATAACATGCCCCCCTTTTCCTCCCTCCTGCCCATGCCTTGGACACAGATCTCCTTTGGCATTCTTTCTAATACAGAGAGAGAACCTGATTTTTCTATACATTTCAGTGCTTGTAAAGTACATACAATTTATGCATAAATAGATATCTATTTTTCCAATATCTCCTCATCAATTTAGCCCAACAAGGTGAGCATTAGATTTGAATAAATATGGGTAGATCATTACTGTTGGGGTCACTGATGATGATGGATGTGTTTTCCAGATCGAATCCCGCAAGAGGGTTGCCAAAACAGTCCTGGTCTTGGTCGGCTTGTTTGCTCTCTGCTGGCTCCCAAACCACATCCTCTACCTGTACCGCTCCTTCACGTACCACGCCTCCATCGACACCTCTGCTTTCCACTTGGTGGCCACCATCTTCTCCCGGGCCTTGGCCTTCAGCAACTCCTGCGTCAACCCTTTTGCGCTCTATTGGCTCAGCAAGGGCTTCCGCCAGCATTTCAAGAAGGAGGTGATGTGCTGTAAGCGCAAGGCCCCCGCCACACGCCGCCCGAGCATCACCCAGAACTATACGCCAACCAGGACGATGTCGGTGACTGGCTCTGAAATCAGCGTCACTTTCCTCACGGATTACAGCATCACAAAAGAAGAGGAGAGTGTTTAACTCCGTTGGATTTGAGAAGCAGTGACGAGTTCCGCCGCGCAAGGATGCTGAGATCCAGACCAAAACTGGAGCGACACCCGAGTCAGATCTCTGCATCTGTACACTGCCATGTAATGCCGGTTAACTGCTTTGATATGTATTACATGGCAGGGTGTAATCCACTTCAATGCAGTGAAACTAGGCATGGGCAAACTTTGTAACTTGGGGGCTGCATAGCAGGCCAGAATGGGCCAGGAAAGAGTGGGTTCTCTCCAAGTCCCCTCCCTGCCTTTTCCTCCCCTTCCTCTTCTCTTGTTGAGGCAGAAAGTCAAGGAAAGACGGGAAATGTTTGGATCCCAAAAGGGTTGGCCTTGGTCAGGATGAGATGGTGGACGGGAGAGAACACGTGTATCCATTCGACCCATATTGCCTACTCCTGATATAGAATCATAGAATCCTAGAGTTGGAAGAGACCCTCTAGGGTCATCCAGTCCAACCCCCTGCCATGCAAAAAGGCACGCTCAATAGACAGCCTCTTTGGAAAAGCCTCCATAGAAGGAGAGTCCACCACTCTCCCAGGTGGCCTATAGCACTCTCCAGGAAGTTCTTCATAATCTTTTCAGTCAACTTTATTTCCCTTCCATCTGAACCCATTCCTCCCTTGTGCCCTGGTCTCTAGAGCAGCAGAAAGTCAGGTTCCCCCCTCTTCCCTCTCCTCCTCCTCCATGGGACATCCTTTGAAATCTTGAAATATGGTTCTCATGTTCCCTCTCCAACTTCGCTTCTCCAAGATAAACATCCCCCAGGAAGAAAGGAGGAAGGAAAA